ATGAAAAAGATGCTTTGAATCAGCATTTCTCTTTGCAAACTGCTGCAGCTTGCAAAACACTGGCGGGATGTAAATTGCTTTTGGAGCATTCCCCGCGTAGCTGCATTGAGGTGACAGTCACAGCCAATTTCCTGCCAGTCTGGCTTGGTGCTTGTCAGTCCTTTCCTCTCTTTTACAGTTCCCTCTGCAGAGCAGGCATCAATTCAGAGCTTTGCATAGAAGCCTTGGGCCTCCAGGCATGAATGCTGCTCTTTCAAAAGGGAAAGCAGTGTTAAAAACACAAAAAAGAATGTTCAAGGCTTTATACAGGGCTCTGGAACTATCCTTTTGCTTTGCAGTGGGCATAGCTTTGCATCAAGCAGGTGAGCCTGCTCAGAATGGAGGAAGGCATTCTCTGTTGGCCCTCTATCCAACCCACATAATTAATCTTGGTTAATTGTTATGAGGCAAGAATGTCCATAGAAAAGAAGGTGAGCTTTTTGATGGTCTCTAGAAATAACCAGAGCTGAAAATAACTATTGATGTGGCTGGGCTCCATTGAAATCCTTGCAACCTACATAAAAAGCAAAAAATGAATTCTGAAAGAAAATGGAATGTGCCAAAGGAATAGTAATGAATAGAAAGTAAATGGTTATTGTTGCTCTTTGTGTTGCATTATTTTAAATATTAAATGATTTACAACTGCTCTTTGATAGACATGGAAATAGTTAATGTTACTCTTTTGGTTCAGTTACTAAGTGAGTAGATAAAGCATTGAAAAGCCCTTCAGGGTTTTAGTGAAAATCTCTTGGAGTAGGTATAAAGTGAATGATGGCCTTTTTGGGTAGAAAGACAGGCATAGAGCTAGAGCAAGAGCACACAGGATTGAAGTTTACAGCACAGAACCAGAAAATGTCTGGTGTGTAAAACATAGTAAGATAAAATTTTGAGGTCAGAAAAGCCTGGTTTGAAGTTGATCTGCTTCTGATCCATTCAGAATAGTTCATTTTGAAGCCAAAAATGTCACCTTGAAAATGTTTTGCACATGTCTACAAAAAAAAAGGTAACACAATGAAATATTACTATTTCTCATGCAGTGTTTTAATTTTTTTTAACATATATTGGAGATAGACATGTCTTATTATAATTCAGATATTTTATTTGGTGAATTTTTAAAATCTGGTACTGTAAAACATTTATAGAGCAACGCTTTGCTTAGAAGAATAAAGCTATACTGAGTTCAGTGGGGCTTATAACAAATAAATTACTTTTAAGCAACTTCTGTACATTCTTATTATATTTATTGTGTTGCTGAATTGGGTTATATAACTGAATGAGGCTAATAATGTAGAGTTGGTATTCAGGATAGGCCTATAAAATTTCTTTCTGTGTCTCTTACAGGTCTTTGGCTGATGGAAGAACCATTTGAAATACAGTGTACATTTGGTTTAGGGCATGAAAACAGAGACATTGCTGATATTTTTGCTGAGAAAGTGCTGCAGTAAGCTGAGATGGCAATGCTAGGCTTAAGCTCTATGAACTATTACTCACTGAGGAAAAGAGGCACTTTTATGCTGAGACTTGTATGTTTTACTCTGACAGTATTCATTTTCTGTGAATTTTTAATTTATTATATAGTTATAATTCAGTGTCATTGGCCAGAATTGAAAAATCAGATGCCAGGGACTAACGAACAGAATTCAAATTCTGTCTTGAAAACCATATTTTTATCAGATCCTCATTTGCTTGGTAAAATCAATGGACATTGGTTGGACAAGCTAAGGAGGTAGGAACCAAAGTATCAATAACTTGTTGCTATTGATTTGTGGAAACATTTATAGTTGTTCTGTTGCATGCTGAAGAATTGAGGTTACAAAACTAAAAGTTTATAAGCTGAGCATCTACTGTCTTCTAATTTATTGAATGTTGATTCTGTTTAATATTGCTAAAATCTCAGTCTAGTTGTCTCTCATAAGATGGGACCAATAAATCATTACAATTCATTAAGCAAAATTTGCCACTCATTAGTTAAAGGAACAATCATTTTTAATATTTTCTTATTCATTCCATGTTGCTTTAACACATTAAAACCAAAATAGTGTTCAAGAGTCCAAGTATTTTGAAATGTATTGAATCAGCTTAATATTTGACTGAATATATATATAATTAATAAATATATATTTAATCAATTTATATAGCCGCCCACCTCAGCACATTGACCCTGAGTGTCTGTCAACATTAAAACAAATAAAAATGTATACACATGCGGAATAAAACAAGAAATAAAACATATAGCAGCTGGAGAGTCATAAAAAAGCCCTCAGCACAGCCAAGAAAATGTTTAATATGCATGTGTTGGATGATAAAATACTGTTGTTTATCTTAATTGTTACAGTAGTTTATATATACAGATTTTATTATTTTTTTTCCTTATTTTATAAAAGTTGAAAGGAGGGAGATCAGAGGGAGATATGGCAGGAGACAGAGGGCTTCTTGGGCAGCCAAGGCAGCCTTGATAGTATTGATATTGCCTTCCACCCCCTTTTGCTCAGCCTTGTAATCAGAGCCCAGAGTCACTGGTTCCCAGTAGACTTCCAGAAGATGATGGTCATCACCTATGGCACCTTCATGGTGTAGGGCCAAGCTACTTGTAGGACCACCTTTCTCTCATTGTTTCTGCTCACTCCACCAGATCTAGTAGAGACGGCATGCTCCAGGACCCTTCTACAAACAGTGTCATCTTGTTGGATCTTGGAGTCATGCCTTCTCAGTGGCACACCTGCCCTGTGGAACAGCATCTCCCTGGAGATTTGGATGGCCCCAACTGTATTAGGCTTTCGCAAGGCACTGAAGTCCTGGCTGTTTCTCCAGGCATTTGGGTCAGGTGGATAGATGAGCTCTGTTACTGTTGATGGTGAGGGGAGTCACTGTTTATCCTTGGGCGCTGAGGGGTTGTATCTGGTGGGTTTGTGTGTTTTAATTCTGTAATCTTCCCAGAGTCACTTGTGTGAGATGGGCAGCTATATAAATAATATAAATAAATAATAAAGACTAGGAAATCTCCCAGTAAGAAAAACAATGCATTTTATTAATACTCCTAATGATTAAAATTGGCCCATACTAAAACTGTTTACCTTGAATTACTTCAGTGTCGATGAAGATATGTAGAAAACAGCCACTGACCTTTTTGGCCTTTTTCATCTGAATTTGTTGATACATACCTTAAAACTCCATTTTGTTTCTACAGGGGGCAAAGTTGAATTATTTATGTGATCTCTCCATTTCTTAAATTATTATTTGACTGCCATATTTTTGTGCAGTCAAGTAGCCCATTAGGCTACATATAAATTTAGAGCCTTGGCGGGAAAGAGTGCCCCAGTTAAGAACCATTCTCCCCCAAGACAGATCTTCCAGTATTGCTTGCCAGTAGCTAATTCCTAATCTAAAATATGTATTTTGCGACATTCAGTCAAGTATAGTTAACTTAATCAAGTAACCAGGAATCACACTGAGATGTTATTTCATTTCCCACAACCATATTATTTATGCATTTGCCCTGCCTATCTTGAGTACAACCTTACAACCATAGGCTGGATTCACAGATCATGTTAAACCATAGTATGGCTTGTTTGCTTTTGGCTTAGGATGACCTGTGAACCAGACAGATTGTGCAGGAAACTATGCTTGAAAACGGTGCGTAATGTTATGTGTAAGCTCAGCCACTGAATGTTTGGATTCTTCTGTCCTGCTTATGGGTCCAGATACTAGTTACAGGTAGTCCTCTACTTATGACGACTCCTTCAGCTACTGTTCAAAATTATGATGGTGCTGAACGAGGGGGACCTATGACTGGTCCATGAGGTTGCGGCCATTGCAGCATCCCCATGGTTACATGACTGCGATCTGGGTGCTTGGGGGCCTGGCTTGCAATTACGACATCGCAGCAAGTCAAGGTCATGTGATCACTGTTTGTGACCTTCCCTGCCAGCTTCCCACAAGCAAAGTTAATGGGGAAGCTGGCCAGGAAGGTCGCAAGTCGCTCTTGCCATTTTTCTCCTGAGGAACCTGCTATGGATCCAGGGATCCTGTACTATGTAGCACCCCTCTCCCGCCCTCAGTAGCACTTGCATTCCCACAGCCCCCACCAGCCTGCCCCTGCTCCTCAGCACCCACCCATGGCCCTTGGCCTGCCTGTGGCATTCCTCAAGCCCCCCCCGTGGCACCCATGCACCCCCCATGCTCCTTGCCTGGGACTCCTGCCTTTTCCCTCATAACGACCCATGCAGTCCTAGGGTTATGTCAGCAGCCAGGACTGCCAGGATTGTTGTTGCTAAGTGATGCAGTCATGTGATATCGTGCTTTACAACTGCATCACTTGGCAATGACAATTCTGGTCCCATTTGCTCTCGTGACCTGAGGACTACCTCTATTCTTTCTTTTTGCCTGGATATACACCCAGGATGTTCAAGGGGTTCATTCAGCTTTGGTAGTAACATACCCTTTACTTGAACTTCCAGTGTATAGTTCCTTCTTATTCTTTTCTAGCACTACTCTTGTTCCATTCTAGTACCTAGCATTTTTCTTAAGCCATGTTTAGATTTATATAGCAATCTCAAATAAATGACTCTAGGTGGCTAACAGTATTAAATGTATATAAAAGCAAATGCATATAGAAACAAATTGAAAACACAGCAGCCAGGAAAAACACCCACAAACAGCCATTAACACAGCCAGGAGACAGTCTCCTTCACACCTGGGGCCCCAGGCTTGAGCATAGAACCAGATCTTTAAGGCCTTATGAAAGGCCAGCAGAGTTGGGGCCAATCTGATCTCCAGAGGGATGATGTTCCAGAATGTGGGCCATGCCAACCAACACTCCTTAGGTGACGGTACCTGCAGCATACCCCTCCTGCCGGGTTGGGTAGGACAGGTAGAAACAACTGGGGAGAGACAGTCCTGCAAGTAGCCCACCCCAAGCCATGAAGGCTTCAAAGGTGACTACCAGCGTGTTGTCATTCATGTTGTATATTGCCCAAAGAACAAATTTTGTTATCCTGTCACCAAGATATATATTTTTTTTTGGCTAGCTGTCCTTCCCCATCTCTTCATTACACCATTTGTTATTTTCTGTGGTGTCTTCAAGGTCCAAAAAATAGTTTCCATTTCATGTCCTGAGGTTCTCCCTAATAAATTTTTCTTTAGTCTTCCCGTTCTTCCTGTAAGTCGAAGAGTCCAGTTGGGTCGTTTGCTTTTTCTGGACAATGTCATTTTCAAGAATTCACAAGTGATTTGAGAAGCGAGTTTTTGCTCCCTTTTGAATTTGTGTCATAATCATGGAAATTTTACGTAAGTTTCAATCACAATCTTTCTTTCCGCTCTCTGACTAATTGAGGATAATTCTTTTTACTCTGGAATTATCATTACTTCAGCTATAATTATTTTTCTTCTCTAAAATATGCACGTTCCACACTTTAGCAATTTAACCAGCCTTTGGACGTTCTGTGCCACTTCCAAAGCACCTTCTTCCATTTCTTATTTGGCAAATGCTATTTTCCCCAACCTGTTAGGATGTTCAAAATAAAATACCAGTGAGTGGCCTTTTTCACATGGTTATTCTCCCCCAATGTAAGCAACATTTCTGTCATTGTCAAGGATGCCAATTGTCCTCATTTTCTCCTCTTTCAGGATCCAGGTCTTCATCCTGATGGCCAATGGGGAGCAGTAAAAATGGCAATGAATTGATGCCCTCCCCACTTCCTTGTTCTTCCTTTGCTGAATTTTCTTTTCAGAGCAAGGAAAAGAAATACCTGACAGTCCATTGGGAGAGGGAATGGTCTAGCCAGCTTAGTGCAACTGTGGAGGATGGAGAGACAGGAGGATGGACAGCCTTGAGGCTGCTGCTAAGCAGCAAGTATTTGCTGTTTTATTTTGCCCTCCTGATTTCTTAATAATAATGGAAGGAATAGATAGATGCACACCAGGATACCCTTCCTTGTTTGACACGTACCACAAAGAGATGGTTCCACTTCTTACATTCTGAGGCTATTCTTGATTTCGTTCTTCCCTTATCCCTACCAACAGTATCTTGATCACTCAAGTGGTAAATGAGGCTTAGCCTTCTCTATGCATATGTAGCTTATACTAATAATGGGCTCTTCAACTGTTACATATTCAAGGCTTTGTGAGAGTTGACTGTGACTCTAAACAGTTTATTCAGTTCATCCTTTACTTGAGCTGATTTGTGCTAGCATCTGTCGTGGATAGCGCTAAGTAGTTCAAGAGTTGGAAAAGCTTCAAAATTGGGCTAAAATCCAGTGAAACAACCTACAGTATATTGGATCCCGGGTGATTAGGAATTTCTTATGGTGGTTCTTTTGCGCAGCCCTGGTTTGATTCCTGGCAATCCTAAAATGTATGATGTTTGCTCCAGATTGTTAAAATGATATTCCACACAGTGTCAAAAGAGAAAGCCACTCTGTATCCGGTTTCTTTTAATTCAAGCTTTATCATTGGTTCACAATATTTGTAATACTAATTGAAATGTGGTGGTTTTGTACTTTTTTTCCTGTTAGGGAATGGCAAATGGAGAGAGCCTTCCAAACTGCCCTCTGGCTTTTGCAGCCAGAAATAGTCTTTATCCTTGGTGATATCTTTGATGAAGGAAAGTGGAGCTCTTCCCAGGTTTGTGTTACTGAACTGGTCTCCTAGCAAATAGGGTTTTAATAAGTAAGTGCACAAAAGACAAGGCCAGGAGTAGTTATCTTTCTTTTAGTTACTGTATTAATTAGCATCTTAATTCTTAAACAAAAGCTGATTATGGTTGTTGAAGTTATTGTCAATATTTCTTTTAAGTTTGCATTTATACTAGATGTACATTGCACAATGGATTTGCCAACTGAGAGAATATTTGCAGTGTTGGCTGCAGATCTTTTAGCACAGATAAGTTGTGTGTTACTGCCAGTTCCTATAAGATGGGGAAAAGTTTGCTTTATTTGCATTTTAAGATGAACCTTAATGATTCCCATTTTCTGGTCCCACACACCAGCTTGAAATGCAGCTGAAATATTTTCTTTTCTGAATTAACCAGTTCACTACAGTATTCAGAAAATTATGCACAAAAGTATATATATTAGGATAATGTGGACAAAGAAAAATGCAGATGAAGTTTTGTGCAGGCTTATGGGAAGAAAAACAAATTGATGCAGAAATAGGACAGAATGAAAAATGGGTGTGAAATTGAATTTGACAGATTTGCAATTCTTAGTACTCATTAAATTCATCAGCTGGCAAGAGGATACCCTTAAGTTATGTGCCAAGTTTGTCTTCTAAAGTGAAAAACTCTGCAGTTTTTCCCCAAGTATCAGTGTAAAATTCAGTAGGTGTCTTGGGCAGATTATTTTTATGATATTAAAGCCAAGTTTATACTCAGCACATTCTTAAGAAAATGAACTGTGGGATGGGGTAAACTGGACACATGATGGACAAATAAAGCTAATAAAAATAAATAAAATATGTAGAAATCAATGTATATTGATTTCAAGAATTCTTGATGGTTCTAAGAATTACTCCTATATATTAGTATATATTATTTCCAAAGTGGGAAATAATAATTTAATGCAGGCCGCTGTGTTAAAGAAATGTACCTTTTGCCTTGTCTTTTAAGATACTGATTTTTACTGAATACAATGTAGGAAACAGTCTAATTGTTTGCATTTTTAATATATAAAAATGAATTTCAATATAATTATTGTGGAATTAGTTGCCTTAGCTCATGGTATTGTCTGCTGACCCTTTACTCTTAACAAAAGCAGGAATAAAAAAAGCAGCATAACCTAATAGTAATAATCACTATTTACAGTATTTTTATTTAAACTGGATTACAGCATTTGAACCTTTAAACATATTTTTCTCCAGGCTTGGTCAGATGATGTAAGACGCTATCGGAAAATATTTTGGCATCCAGACCAGGTAGAAGTAATTGGTATTGTTGGCAATCATGACATTGGCTTTCATTATGAGTGAGTAATTTTTTTAAATATTGTGGAATATAGATTAAAATACTGGCTTAGTAGTGAAGATGGTCCACCTTTCACAGACCAAATAGAGGACAGGGGAAATCTTGCTCTAGTTCAATCCTAATATGCTTTCCTATGCTGGGAATTACGGTGTGCTGTATAATGAAATGCTGTGTATTTTATTACACACCCCTAGGATGACATCATTGAAGTTGGAACGTTTCTCTAAAGTTTTCAACTTTTCTTCTGAAAAACTGATAACTCGGAAAGGGATAAAGTGAGCATAACTTTTTTTATTTACTGGGATTTTTATTATTAAACTTTCTACCTTGGCATTTACAGCAAAATATTAGTTTCACAGTGATGGCATCTCGTTACATTCTGTTAAAGAAGAAATTGTAAATAGATTTCTTTATCTAAGGTTAATTTTTGGCTATCCAGAAAATACTTTTTAGTATATTCCTGCTGAAGGATAAGAATTGCTGACTGTCATTTGTTTTTTCTATCTGGTATTAACTTCTTAGTAATATAAAATTTGTATATTTATTAAACATGTTCTAGTTCTGCTTTTAGCATTTGTATTAAAAGTAAATTTTTAGGCCGCAGCCCTTTACATATAAACATGGATCCATTTCCTGTTATTGTAGATAAATTGTATTTTAAGATTCTGCAGCAGTGTTTAAACTGTATTTTTATATGAGTGTTAATGCCTAGTAACCAATGATACCTTATTTGGTTTTTGCCAACTTACATTAGGGACAGAGAATCATACTGCGATAGCTTCAATGTTAAGGTCAATATTTGAGATTATGTATACATCCACTGGGAGGATTATTTTTCTTCCTTGATCATTCACTGGCTTGGTCAGGTTCTCCACAAAGCCAAAGGGAGAATTGTCATCTTATCTGTGACATGGCCCTCATCTGTTTGAATACAGTTGTAATCCAAAAGTGTTGTTATATAAACAGAGCAGCATCTGATGGAAGGAGTCTTCTGCATCTTCCCAATCCTCTGTGGAGGATGAGAATCCTCTGCAGCACATTAGAAGTATGTGCAGAGGGGAAGTCTTAATGCTAAATGGACTTGCTTTGCTGAGTTGTCTTTCCGATTTAAGAGTATGGGCTCTCCTAATTTACTGGCTATAACTTGCATGATTTTCTTCTTATATTCTTAGCTTTCTTATAGTGAACAGTGTTGCTCTTGAAGGTGACGGCTGTATAATTTGCAGAACAGCAGAAGCAAAACTCATTGAACTTTCCCACCAGCTGAACTGTTCATTGCAGGTAAGCATATAATGATTTATTGGGAAAGCTTATTAATGTAAAGAACAGCTCCTCTAGATACTTATTTTAAACTAACTCCTTCCCAGACTATTATTTCAGTGTACCCACAAGCTTTCGACAAAGCTCTGTCTCTTCATTCATAAGTATGCACTGTTCTCTTCATTGAAATGAATGAGAAAGCCTTTATGGGTGAAGGTTCTGTGCTTGGGCATTGGGAAAACCAGCATGAAATTGTGGATGTGAATAAAGCAGCAGCAGTATCAAAGGTGCTGTTCATCTTCTAAGTTCCTTTTGCATTTCTGAGTTTGGTAGATGGTGATGAGGTCTTTTTAAATTATAATGGCTTGTTTATGGATTCCTCAACCCAACAGTGCTTCCTTTGATAAACTCTGATATAGCAGAGCTTACCTGCTTGGATATACTTTCAATTAATAAAATCTGATAGTATCATATTGTTAGATTTATATCACACTTTCTTATAGGAATTCATGGTGGTATACTTATCACTCCTTCCTCTGTAATGGGTTGAGAGAATAACCTTGAGGAACAGAAGGAAGAGTGGTAACCAAGACAGTGGTCAGAGAAAAGAAAATTGAGTCTGAGGCAGAATTGTAATTTGAGAAAGCGTCTCAGGCTTGACCCTCCCTAGTTCTCTTGAAGATAAAAGGCGGGGGGGGGAGCACATTTAGTCTTGTAAGCTTCTATTACTGTAACCTTATAATAAAAGTATTAGCATTCATAACTTTGGTTTCCTAGTCTAGTCTACCCCAAAGGGCTGACACCCTCAGTGATTATTATTGTTTTTTCTCTTTTTGTTTATTGTGTGCATACAGAGTTTTTCTAAACCATCTTGGGAGATTCTATTGAAATATGTTTATATATCTTGCAGACATTTTCTGCCTGTCTATAACATATGTGCAGCCTCAAAACTGACTCACCAGTTCTTTGAATATGAGAGAGGCATTTTCTTTTAGAACATCCAGTTTGTATTATATATTTATTTGTATATATTTATATGATTTATATAGCTGCATCATTCTCTCAATTCTAATATTTCAAATTTTCCTTAAAAACCATGATGCTTTTCTCTTTCTCTTTCCTGCTTTGTGTAAGGTACATATTAAATCACTTCTGGCTTTTGTTGACAGGAACAAAATCAGTATAAAAAAAGCTGTAGTAATGTGGATAAGCTCCCAGCTTCGGCTCCAATTCTATTGCAGGTAAGTTGGAAGACTATGATAGAATGAAATCTTGCACTTTGTCTAGCATGAATGTATTGAGGAACTTTATTTGGAGCTATTTTGTGTGTTTCATCCTTCTCAGCATTATCCTCTTTATAGAAGAAGTGACTCAGAATGTACAGGAGAAGATTCTGCTCCCTTGGAGAAAAAGAATGACCTCTTTAGAGAGACGTATGATGTGCTTTCTCAGGAAGCTTCCCAGAAGGTGCTTTTGTTTTGACCAGAGGCTTTACATTACTTAGTATTAACTGTGTGGTTGTGTTAACAAAGAAAGATTGTGAACTTTTCATTCTCAGAAGTTGTATGGTGGAACTTTTTTCTTTTTGGAAATATCTACCCTGGGGTAGCACACAGGGTTTTCACTGACAAGGGAGCTTTCCTTTGTCTTCAAGACAACCTGGTGTTTGGAAGAAATTCTTTCTCTATTATGAAAAACTACAGTATGTTGTTGCACTGTTAAAGAAAGATGCGGTACCGTATGTGGGAAGTTTTGTTGTTTACTGTATATGGTTACAAAAAGTTACCAGTTTTCAGTAATGCAAATCTAGTGTAAAGATCTAGCTTGTGCACAGTGTAGAGCCTACTTTGCAACCAAGCATACTAGGCGTCAAAATTGTACACATCTGTTCTGAGCTGGATTGCAGGTGACGTATATGTAAGGAATTCTGCTTCGGCTTCCTGAAAATTTTCATTACTGGAAATTGATGGTTTGCTAATGAAGGCTTGCTAATGAATCTATTGACAGATATCCTAAGGAAAGTATATATAGGTCTTGCAGGTACCATGGCCTACAAATTGAGAAAGGCTTGGCACAGGCTAGATAGATGATGGGTCATTCATATTAGTTTAGTGTAAATGAACAATTTTGCTGGGGCATGCTGTTCAACTGCTTCCTCCTGTGTCTTCCTGATGAAAGCAGTAACTAAATAAACCATTTGTGATATGAAAACTATAATCCCTGGCTTCACTCTCCCAAATAACCCAAATAGTCAAGGCTAAGAACAAACTATGCTTCTGGCTTGTTAGGAATCTGCCAGAGCCTCTGATTTTGAACCAATAAACCATGCAAGGAATTTTTGCTATTAATTTGTCTCAGTCTTTCATGGTTTATAGCCCTGCTGTGTGGGGACCGAGAGGTTTGAAGTCTGGGATCCAACATATTTGGAGAGTGCCACAATAGCAACAAGTTTTTTAGCCTGGCAGTGGAAGCCATCAAGCTGCGTCCTGTAGCATGCTTATGTGTTCATGATATGCCCCAGAATGAATTCAACCATTAGGTGATGGTTCTCTGGACCCTAGTAAGTCAAAGAATCCTGGGTAATGCTGAACCATTCTTCCCCCAAAGCTGTGGTGGACAAGAGCTCTGGAATCGGCTGTGTGTCGAAACTGAGTTACTTCTGGTATTAATGGGGTGGTTTGATAGTACTTTATGGATGGATGGATAACAGCTCTAATAAATGAGTGCTGATTAAAATGACTGAAGGGGAATTTTGAAAGCAAGGTGGGCTGTGTGGAAGTGTTATTTCCTAAATTAGAAATGGTAACTGTGATGTTTTACTCCACTTTATAGCTGTTATGGTGGTTTCATCCTCGATTGATTCTGAGTGGTCATACCCATAGTGCCTGTGAAGTGCTGCATGATGATAACATTCCTGAAATCAGTGTTCCATCATTCAGCTGGAGGAACAGAAACAATCCTAGTTTCATAATGGTAAATTTAAATAATGTTTATTTTATCAGGTATTTTTTCATAATATAAATCAACATAGCAATCAGCTATTTTCTCAGACTGATGCTACCTGTAAAAAAAGCAAACAGAACAGCTCCTTCCATCCTCTCCAAAAGTACACTTAAGTTGAATACAAAGCACCCACTTTATAAAGCACATACATGGAGAGCCATCTAGCTTGTAGAGTGCAAAGTAATGTGTATGGTCTGCAATTCTAAATACAAGCATATTTAGTACGTTTCTATAAAGAGGATGCAGTGTAAACAATCTGACTGCAACAATCATCAGTAGTCTGCAACAAACAGTATTGAGACTTGTTTTTGCTTGACTGATTTATCCACAAGACCACTTTTTTCCCCTCTGTGATTCTTTGTCTTTCAAAAGTACAAACTATCTCATAGGGCAGCAAAATTCTATTCAGAGGAACCTAATTCACAGTTTGCTTGCTTTGGGTATACTAGATTAAAATTCTCAATAGATTAACCTGGAGCACAAAAAATTTGCTGGTTCTAAGCCATGTTTTAAATGATTCTACCTTCAAAAACCTGTTCTATGCTAACTTTACTTTTTCAGCTTCTTGAGCTTCAGGAAAGGCAAAGCAATTGTAGCTCTATTGTAATTTTTAATTCATAGATGAAAATCTGTCTCATTTTAGGCAGCATGATTCTAAATTGTACTCCTTGAGAAGCATACTTTCACCTTTTTATTTTGTTTAAAGTCCTTACTTAACAAATAACCTAGAATGTCATGTTTCTAGCACTCTTGACACGTAGATGCTTACCTATGGGGCTAGATTATCCATAATCCCACTTGCTTCCCAATTCTATAAGAATAGAGCTACATTTTATTTTATTTCATGCAATTTTAAATGCTTGGTTCCCCAAATAATATAGCAACCATTAGTATAATTAAAGGTTTTAAGGTGTTAACTATATGAGTCTTCCCTTGTCCAGTCAAATAACAGCTGTTGTGTTCTGGAAGGTTCTTTTTCACATGGCACAAAATTTTCACAGGGCAGCTCAGTGCTTAATTGCAAAATAACTAACATTAGAAGTTTCAGATTTGTCTGCATCTCTTGACCCATGAACAATTGAAAGTACTACTACTTTGAGAAGAACTTGGCTTCCCTCCCATTAATAGAGTCTTTAGTATCTACAGCCATTTGCCTCAGACCTTCTAAACTGTTGCTTCCATTTTTCAGGGCAGCATAACATCAACAGATGTCTCTCTCTACAAGTGCTTTCTTCCGTATGAGAACACAGTAATAACTATCTACTGTACAGCAGGATCTGTGCTGGTGGTCCTCATTCTGGCTCACTTTCAGCCCCTCCTTTCCCCTTACCATTTTGTTCAGCGTTTAATCACTAAGTATAAAGCACTATGAAAAGTCAGACACTTGGAATCAGTCACTGATACACCAAAGCTAAAGAAGAGTCCATCAGACTACATTCATGCCAGCAAATGCGTACTTGAATTGCTAGCCCAAAGGCAAATTGCCCTTACAGACAGAAAGCTCTAGACAGTTGATAGGACTTTTTTTACTACAGGATAAAGTAACTGCTTCATGCTGTACAAAAATATTGTATTCTACAATCAAATGAATGATTTTCTTGCTAAAGTTTTTTTGTATCAAATATGTATATTAAAAGTTTGTAACTGTACACTAAGTTCTATAAGCCTCCTTTTGTGTCTGCACTAGTGCCCTATGCTGTTAGAGGCTCAGTCTTTATAATAGAAAAGAATTTTAAAGTGTTATTGCTGCGTGACCATCTGAAGTGGTACTTCTTTTCCTTGATGTCAGCAATACAAGATGTAGTTATTTTACAGCAAGGTATTACCAAAACAGAAGCAAAACATAATAACAGGTGACATAACTTTCTACCCTTGTGAGTCACTTTTAAATTAGATGTAAATAGTTTTAGATGGCAGTCATGTGACAGAATCAACAAAAACCTTCGCTAATAGGTTTGCAGAGTATTGGCAAACCGGGTAAAAAACTGAGAAGCCTCTTGCACATCTGGAATAAGGGTGTGCACTCTGTATCCATGAGCACATGGAATGAAGCTTGGCTGAACATTTTCCCTGGAATAAGATGTAAGCAACTACTATTAAGATTCATACAGAGTTTTTATGGTATGACTCAATTTGTGTGACTGACTTTTCTCCCCCAAGAGAAATAAACCTTACTAGAAAACTTTGCATTCCATTCCTAAATGTTTAAGTCCTATCTGATTAATAGCATTTTTTTTAAAAAAAGTGCTTAAGTATGCAACTTAAAAAGGCATTATAAATTAAGCTGCAGGAATTTCTAAACTTGGTTTTCTTCATCTACTTATATAAATTTTAAAGTGAATTTTGTTTAGTAAAGAAGAGTTTAGGTTAGCCTTCCTCAGCATGGTGCCCACCTAAGTATTGAGACAACAGCTCCCAAAATTTCCAGGCATGCTGGAAAGAGTTCTGGAAGCTGTAAACAAAATTCATGTGGAGGGCATTAGATGGGTACACATTAAAATTGTAGGTGAAACCTTGTCTGAATTATAGGATATAATCATGTGACATTTTTAGCAAAGGGAGAAGATGGGATAGAATTAGTGACTCCACCCCATTCCCTTCAATAACAGAACCACCCCCTTGCTATATTCTCCCATTTTAATAAGCAATAGTTTCCATTTTCACTGCTTTGTCTTTAGAGGAAATATGAATCTTTAGATTGGTATGTCTTCATCGTATCAAAGTAAGTGTCTCTCCATCATTTTGGAAACATAAGGTTATGACTGAATACAGTATGTCAACGTAGCAGTTTCAGAGTGGATCTAAAATGCTGAAGAGCTCTTCAGAACTAGAGTATCTTGATAGATTGCTAGCCCAATTCTTTTGCAGAGATACAATTTTTCTCAGTTACCTAGAAAAGTGATCTGGGGTTATATATGCAATAAACATGCCTTCCTAATTTAAAAATAGTTTCACATTATGCCATCAAAATATTTAAGAGTAATTTGTCTTTATATTTATAGCAAAAGGCAAAGATAATCCAAGTGTTATAATCTATGAAGTTCTGAATTTGTTATTGCAACTACAAATTTTAAATATTTGTACAGATTATCTCAGGCACAGGAAACTGTACTCTGACATAATGCCTATGTATAAAATATAAAATAATCTCATAGTTACGGAGAAAGGCATGCCTTATTGCTACACCAATTCTTTTATGCTGAACTGTACCACAACTTATTTTGTGAATGTCATTTGCATAAATTATTCAAGTTTGAAAAACATTATGATTCTACAATATTTAAAATAAAACCATTTTCTAAGGTCTGTTTATTAAGAGAAATAAATATGTCATTTTGTAATTCTCTTAGGCCAAACACAAGGATTACACCTTTTTTCTTTCTTGCAATTTGCACAATAAAAGCAGCTGTTGCAACAAAGATTGAAAAGAAAAACTTATCTAATGGTGCCTTTACACATTCACAATCTGCAATTGTGAAAGGTTTATGAATGACCAAAGAATTACTGAACATAGTTTTTAAAAGTAAAACAAGATATTCCCATGAAACTAACACCAGGTTGCAATTTGGACACTTAAATCAATTTCAGTGTTTTAAAGCTGAGTCTGAAAGGCTATTGCTGCCACAGTAGCAGCAATTACTCACTTGGAAAGTTAATATGACTAAAATTTGCATAATTTATAATTTTTATACTAAAGAACATTTTTTATATAAATCAGAAAAAAACCCTAAACTCTACAGAGTTTTTTTTTAAACCTCCAGTCACTGCTGTAGGTAGAGTTGACATCAAGCTGTACAGCGCAATCAAAAACATACTTACATCTTAGCTCATTTTACAGGTACAGCCATAATCAAGGCACAAAGATCTTCTACAAGTATTTTCTTCAATAAAATTGTACAAAATAATATTACACTTTACAGTCTGTACAATATAATAAACCAGCAGTAAAACAAAAAATATATATATTATATATTA